CCCCCTATTTTCAATCCCGATGATTGCGTCACCCAGCCATGTACGGCTTTAGGGATTAGGGCTACGCTTTGCTAAGTCAGCACAAAGAATTGCGGATACAACCTTGGACGTGAAGCACACGAAAGCCCTACGACGCCGACAAGAACAAAAGGCAACACCCAATGAAGCCTAGAACAAAAGCACAATACAAAAAAAAAAACATACAACTTCACCAGGAACTCTGCTGAGCACACTGCGAAAGTCCCTTCTAGCCTGTTGCAGTGCCCCACCGCGGCCTTCTCGAGGGATGCACCGAGGTGGCTGAAGAACTTGGTGACCACAGCCTCGGGCTCAGGGCTTAGGGGTGAAAGGGTTTAGGGTTTAGGGTTTAGGGGTATCATGTAGGGGCCTTAACAACTAGAAAAGTACCCTAAACCCTAGACCATAGGATTTTGGCTCCTTTATAATCTGATATAGTTATAATTGTTATAATAAGGAACCCTCACGACTAGTATGGGTAATTATTTACGCCCTATACTAGGGTTTAGGGCTCAGGGTTAGGGCGTATGAAAATTATTTACGCCCCTACACTGGGGGTGCGGGTTTTGGCACCAAAAAACCCTGTGGAAAATGACACTTCGGTCCTGCAGGGCTGAAGATGACTGGCTGACCCCCTGAAACCCAGAAGAGCCCAGCACGAATTGTCCTTAATCCGGTTTCCAACTTTGGGGACTTACTCTAGGGTTTAGAGTTTAGGGTTTCGGGTTCAGGGTTTAGGGTTTCGGGTTTAGGGTTCAGGGTTTAGGGTTCAGGGTTTAGGGTTTCGGGTTGAGGGTTTCGGGTTTAGGGTTGCGGTCTAAACAATGCAAATGCAACTCGAAGCCTTGATCTTCTTCAGCTCGTGAAATCCATCCCGCTTGCAATCCTTCCTGTTATCCGTTTTTGTGGCTGGTAAATTTTACAAAACCCCCAAGTACTGAACCCTAAACCCAAAGCCCTAAACCCCTAAACCCTAAACTCTAATTCCTCAAAACCCAAAGCCCTATATCCTAAACTAGAAAAAAACCAAAGCCCTAAACCCTAAAGACCCAAAGCCCTAAACCCTAGAAACTCTACTTCCTCAAAACCCAAAGCGCTAAGCCTAAACCCTAATTCCTGAAAACCCAAAGCCCTAAACCCTAAAGACCCAAAGCCCTAAACCCTAAACTCTAATTCCTCAAAACCCAAAGCCCTAAAGCCTGAACTCTAAAGTCTAAGCTCTAACTCCTAAAAACCCGAAACCCTAAACCCCAAAAACCCACAGCCCTAAACCCTAAACCCTAAACCCAAAAAAACCAAAGCCCTAAACCCTGAACTCTAAACTCTAATTGCTGAAAACCCAAAGCCCTGACCGCAAGTTTAGGGGTTTAGGGGTTTAGGGTATAGTGCAGGTCCTGACATTCACCCGGGCTTGCAAAAGCGGCCCCTGATTATTCCTAAACCCAAAACTCCCTAAACCCTAAACCTGAACCCTGAACCCTAAACCCTCAACCCCAAACTTGTCTGAACCTCATCCTAACACCCGAAACCTCAGGCTTCTAGCGTAGGGATGTTGACGGATGAGGCGTTGGGAGCATGCAACACCGGGCTCTTGCCAAGGAAGTTAACTTAATTATCATAATAGCAAAACCATGCTATCTACTCTTTACTATAGAATCCCCCAACAAGAACCCAGAACAGGGGTGGGGGATAAGGGCTTCGAGGTATTTCGTTGTCGTCAAACATCTTCTTGCTTCCAGCCCCGTAGATGCCCACGAAACCCTCGGCCCTGAACGAGCCATCCCCCTTAACCCTAACCCCTGAACTCTAAACCCTAAACTCTAAAAGGAATGCATCCAACACCGAAACCCCAAACTCTAAAGGCCCTAAAGTTAAAGCCTTAAACCTCAGATTGTAAAAGCCCTAAACCCTAAACCCCCTAGCGCTCCCTCAAACGGACACCGAGCTTTGGCGCCTTCTCGGCCGGGAAATGGCATTCAACGAGGTTCAGCTCGCGCAAGTTCGTCAACTGACGTGGGTTCAGTCACAGGGCTCCCTAAACCCTAAACCCTCAACCCTAAACCCTAAACCCTAAACCCTAAACCCTTGGGGTTCAGGGTAGAAGGGCTTAGCGCAAGGGTTTCGAAGAGCTCTCGACTCAGCTCTCGATGGCCTTGTGCTTTAGGTTGGGGATTTAAGACTGGTTTAGGGTTTAGGGTTTAGGGTTTAGGGTTTAGGGTTTAGGGTTTAGGGTTTAGGGTTTAGGGTTTAGGGTCTAAACTAGGAATAAGATTTAGGATTGCGAGCTGGGGTTTAGGGCTTCGGGATCATAGAGCTTTGAGCCTTTGAAGCTTGGGGTTTGGGGTTTAGGGCTTTAGGCTTTTGGGTTGCAGGGTTTCGGGATTTGGGGTCTGGGGGTTTAATGTAGGGGCTTCGTCGTTCAGGGTCTACCCATAGGCCCTGAAGTAGTTCCTTTTTGGGGTTCATATATAGAACCCCATAAGGTAACCCCAAAAAGGTACTACTGTAGGGCCTATGGGTA